AAGAGGGAGCGCTATCGCCCCCCCCATTCCTAGTCATGAGGGTGACCGACCCTCACTCTGCCTGGAGAGGGTGGGGCCACGCCGCAAAGGCAGCGGACGAGACCAATCCGGGGGCAGGGCTGTGGGAGCATGTCCTACCGCATAGCCCAGCCCCATCCTGCCCTCAGTGTCTGTCCCTCTTGTCCTTTGGGGTTCTTAGTCTTTACTGTGTTTTGCTGGGTGTAAGGCTGTGAGCTTCCAAAGTTACAAATGGGGGGACCTTGCAAAACACACAAGCTGATCTTTCTGAAGCTTTTATAAGGAGACTATCAGGTGATCAGTGTTTCTTACATTAAAAAAGTCTTGATTTTGGAGCATTTATGAAATAATAGCTTTTCACTGTGCTGGTTTTCCACACCAGCAGCCTGTGGAGATGGGGCTACATTTCAATGATTCCACTTAGATAAGGCTAAAACAAAATACTGCTACTTCCTTCATTTGAACCTTCTAGTCAGCCAGCCACTACTCAAGCCCTTATATCCCTGCAGAGCTGGATTTTATTATTGTCATTAGCTGGGCACTTTTCATTCAGCTTCTAGGCTCAGCTACTTACTAATAGCTAAGGCCCTACCTAATTTATGACCAGGAAGAAGGTGGGCTTTTACCTTATGCTACACCAGTTTTAAGGGGGAAACCAAAGTCTGCTAACTGAGGGCCAAACTCTGCAGACAACAACACAGCAGTTACAGTGGTAATAGCATACCATGCCATCCTTACTGCTGTGCTGCTGCTAGCAGCAGCTCTGCCTTCAGAGCTAGGCTCCTGTCCAACAGCTGCTGCTTTCTGTGGCCATCCATCTCTGAAGGCAACACTGTTGCCTGTAACACTGCCGGAGTGAGGGTTGCAGTGCTGCACCTCCACACGCACTCAATGGCATTGCAATCTCCCCACAGCTCCTTTTTGCATCTGGCTGAAATAATAAAATTTACTATTTTTAAAATCCTATGATAATAAATTGACCAAAATGGACCCTTAGTAATAACCCAGCTAACATATATCTCTCACTCTCATGGAACCTTTGGGACCCATTATTCCATCTTACCCAGATAGTCTACACTGCCAGTTCTTCTGGCAGAAAATTTGCAAATGAGGGACTCATAGCATATTTTCTGCCATTTCTTTTTGTGCAAGAGTGTTTTGTGCAAAAAGAAGCAGGGTGGATTTTTTTTTTTGCACAAAAACCCCGTTTTGCACAAGATCCTTATGCCTGTCCTTATTCCAGTCTCATGTCTGCAAGCATTGAGGGTGATAAATATGCACTCGGAATATCACAGGACACATTGAGCATGCTAGAAAGTAGTCCAGCTACATCCTTGCAGAATTTGTGAAATGTAGGGGAAGGGGTTTATGAACACCATAGAAAGCAGATCACAAGAGCACTTTCCAATATGCATGGTAGCTTGGGCTACGTCTACATTGTGCATTCTTGCGCAAGAAGATATGCCGCTTATTTGCAGGCAGAATGGCTCTTGCGCAAAAGCCCCTTGCGCAAAAATGGCAGCTTGTTAGATATGCAAATGAGGCGTGTTCATCGCCGTGCCTCATTTGCATATCTTGTTGCACAACAATGCACAGTGTAGACATAGCCTATAGATAAAATCCTGGCCCCAGTGAAGTAAATGGCACTGAAAAGAAGGGAGCGAGGATTTCATATTACCATTTTTCTAAATATTTCTTGCCAGGAAACTGATAGATATGGACTGTTTCCTCACTAATACAGAAAGTATAGTGTTTTATAATCATCCAAAAAATTTTGTATTTAACACCACAAACCAGTGGAATTTGCCAGTCAGTGGAAAGTACTGGAACTAACATCCCTCATTTTGGAGCTTAATCAGTTGCTTGTCAAGTATGTCTCTTATGGCTTAAAGCCTTGCCTTGAAGAACTCAGACGTTGCATGGGCTTTTAATATGACATGGGGTAACCTTCTTACACACAAGAAAATAAACGTAAACAAGAACAAATTAAAAAACAGAGTATAAAACAGTCTGATTAAGAATGCCTTCGTCTCACTCAGCTTTCAGTCCTCTCTGTTTTGTAATGTCACAATTTCATGTTGCCATAAAATCTTCCAGGGTAGGCAAGACTTGAATTCCTACTGTTAAAAACATGATAAACCCTTGTTTCCACTTCGTTTTACAAACATTTTTACATCATAAGCCCAGAAGTCTGTTTTTTCCCTTTTCTAAGGCCACCTTTTAATGACTGTGATAGAGTGGAAAATAAATAGCTGTATCAAATTATGAATTTCATTTTGTATTATGAGGTGAACACATGTTTAAGGTTACTTGTACTGCATTCCAGATAGTTGCCCTGCCCAGGAAAGGCATTTGCAAACTCATTGAGAAGCCATCAATACTACAACCTGAGGCCAGTGACTTTGCTTTGTCTCCCAACTGCCGGAATAATGTTGTTACTGCACAGGGGCTCACAGGTGAGGCAAACATCACAAAAGAGGGGTAGTTTTTCCAATTCTGCAGAAGCACATGGACCAGAGACAGAGGGCTTGTCTACACTGGCAAATTACTGTGCTGTAAGTTTTTCACTCAGGGGTGTGAAAAAACACACACCCAGAGCACAACAAGTTACAGGGCTGTAACTTGTCAGTGTAAAGAGACTCCCAGAGCTGTTAGCTACTACCCACGTGGAGTTGGTTTGCCTAGAGCAGTGGTTCTCAACCGCCAGTCCATGCACTGGTGCTAGGCCACAAACTGCTGGCTGCCAGGCTGCGGCACACTGCCAGGCCATGCCCATGCCTTGATAGGCATGTATGCAGGGGGGGTGCAAAGGGTGTGAACGCACCTCCGATGGTCCCTGCGCTGGTCCCTCCCACACCCTGATGGGGGTGTCAGGCCCTTGTAGGGTTGCCAGATGGTTTAACCAAAAATACCGAACATCCCCTTCCCTTCCCCCAAAAAGAAACAATGGAGGAAAAATTCTGTGGGGGAGGGGAGGGGAAGAAGGGGGAGACCAAAGTTGTTGAGCAAAAAAAAAGACCTCAAAAGTTATTGAGCAAAAAAATAACATAAAATAAATAAAATAAAATAAAACAGCATGGCCCTTTTAAGTGCGAGGGGGGAGAGGTTGAGCATTAAAACCCAGGAAAGGCATTGCTTCCCCTTGCTTCAGGTCTTTTTGCAAGCAAGTCTGGGACTCTGAGTCCAAGGGTGTGCACACTGGGGTGGGATAAATATTGGCAGCTAGATAATTTCCTTTTACCTCTCTCTGTTGTACTTTGTTAATTGATGTTATTCAGTGTTAATTTGTTAAAGTCTGTTTCTTTAAGTTAAGTAAAGGTTGTTTATTCTAATGAAATCTATTAGGTGTATATTATTTATGATTTGTAATTGTTGTTCTGGAGTTAGATCCAGTTTATTGCTGGAATATGTATATTCCTGGAGGTTCCCAAGGCACACCAGTCAGTGTGTTATAGGGCCAGCCAGGTGGAGGCACTGCCATTATATGTTCTTTCTGAGCAAGGGACAGCAGCAAAGGGATGGATAGGGTTTCCCCAACTAAACAACATCACCACTAGGGTACTCAGGATCTCCTTTTACGTTAAAACCATCAGGTGCCCAGGCATACCTGTGAGTGTGACCTGCTCCTGAGTAATCCAGGGGAGGAAAAAGGGGGTTACATATGCATGTATATGCAACCACACTTAAGTTAGGGGGGGAGGGATAGCTCAGTGGTTTGAGCATTGGCCTGCTAAACCCCAGGGCTGTGTCTAGACTGGCAAGTTTTTCTGCAAAAGCAGCTGCTTTTGCGGAAAAACTTGCCAGATGTCTACACTGGCCGCTTGAATTTCCGCAAGAACACTGACTTCCTACTGTCTGAAATCAGTGCTTCTTGCGGAAATACTATGCTGCTCCCGTTCGGGCAAAAGTCCTTTTGCGTTAGAGCACACATCAGAAAATCTTTAGCAAAGGGTTAAAATGCAACTCAGAGGCTCAAGCCTAGGGCTTCCTGACACTGGTCATATTCTGAGGCTCTTCAGCTAGGGTATGTCTACACTAGCCCCCTAGTTTGATCTAGGGAGGCTAATGAGGGCGACTGAAATTGCAACTGAAGCGCAGGATTTAAATTTGTGGGAGGAATAGCTCAGTGGTTTGAGCATTAGCCTGCTAAACCCAGGGTTGTGAGTTCAGTCTCTGTGGAGGCCATTTAGGGATTTGGGGCAAAAATTTGTCAGAGATGGTACTTGGTCCTGCTGTGAAGGCAGGGGACTGGACTTGATGACATTGCAAGGTCCCTTCCAGTTCTAGGAGATAGGCAATCTCCATTAATTACAAAAAAAAAAAAATTAAGTTGAGGCCCACAGCATGTGCTATGAGTATCACTGTGGTCCCAGGGCTTCCAAAGTTGAGTAGCCCCGCCTAAGAGTATGCTTTACAGATCCAAAGCTAGAAACAGTGACAGTCTCCACTCAGGCGAAGCTGAAATGGAAGCATGTGACCCCCCAGCAATTCGGTCCACTTGCCACAGAATGGTAATTGTACAGGAAGATATTGGTTCGGGTTGTAACAGACATTTTCTTTTTGTCTCTAATGGTTTTTGGGTTATTAAACTTCAAAAATTAATAAAATCAGTTGATTAAGATTCGGTCTCCCATTTGTTCTGCAGCAGCTGTAACAATGCCATTGGATATTTTCTCCATTAAAAATGTTATGCTGTGGGTTGGTCGATCATATTACCTTCCTGAAGCTGTTGGGTGTGAAAGCTGCCTTACGTCTAAATGAAGAAACAAGTCACTGTTCCTTTATTTAGTTGTAGCTGAAACAATAGAAAACTCCTGTCCAAGGACTAGACCACATGCACATAGTAGGAAGACCACAGAAACTCAGAAAGAAGGAAAAGAGGAAGTCAGAGAAGCACTTGTAGTGTGACC